CAAGATAACTGTTGGGGATGTGGAGATGCCTACAGTGATCCTCGGGGACCCAGCCTACCCGCTAATGCCCTGGCTCATGAAGCCCTATACTGGCGCCCTGGACACAGAAAAAGAACTCTTCAACTACCGGCTGAGCAAGTGCAGAATGGTGGTGGAGTGTGCTTTTGGCCGTCTCAAAGGGAGATGGAGAAGCTTACTCGCTGTGATCTCAGCGAAACCAATATCCCCATCGTTATTGCAGCTTGCTGTGTGCTCCACAATCTGTGTGAGAGCAAGGGGGAGACCTTTATGGCGGGGTGGGAGGTTGAGGCAAATAGCCTGGCTGCTGATTACGCCCAGCCAGACAGCCGGGCGATTAGAAGAGCCCAGCGGGACGCGCTGTGCATCCGGGAGGCTTTGAAAGCCAGTTTCAAGGCTGAGCAGGGTACCCAGTGACTTTTAAGTTTGTGGACACAGAGGCAGAACTTGCCCCCGTTTCTTTACCCAGTTGCCGTCGACTATCCTCTCCACTTACATACCCCCTTCGCCCCCTTCCCAAAAAATAAAATCTGTTCTGTTTTGTTCATGGACACCGTTGTCTTTATTACTGTTTTCGCGGGAATGTTTTAAACCTGGGACGCAGACTGTGGCGGGGGGCGGGTTTAGGGTTGTGATGCAAATGATGCTTCTAAACTCCAGGAATGACAGGCTCCGCGGTGGTGGACTGGTTGTTTCAACGGAGCCTGCCAGCCCTCCTGGCCGGGACTGCGTGTATATGTCGGCTATGTGACTGTCTTGCAGGGGGAGGAGGGTTACAGATCCCCTGCTGCGCGGCTCTGTGATGCAGGGTAAGGACCGCTGCATAAGATCTGTAACTGCCCTCCCCCGCCACCAAGTCAGAGAGCAACACCACCGCCCCCACCACACAAAACATGAAAACCACCTCCCAGACTAACCAGGATAACTAGTCACTGCACTGTATATGTGCCCTGCTGCTGCACCTGCCCCCTGCTAAAGGTGACTGTCCTGTCCAATGACCAAGCCCCTTCCCCCCCCCTTCAGACAGACTCCCCTCCAAAAGAAGAGGATGGAAACAGAAATGAACAGAAACGTATTCTTTATTAACAACCGCACATGGAACGGGGGGGTGAAACTTGGACGGGGTCTTGTGTGAGGCGGGTAGGAAAGGACTTTTCAAATTTTGGGGAATGAGAGCCTTCTAGTGGTAGAGCAGTCCGCAGGGGTGGAGTGAAATTTTTCACGGCCCCTTCCACCCCTCCGTGTTTGGACTTTGGGTGAGGGGGGTATGGGACTTGGTGGCGGGGCAGGGCAGTTACAGAGAGACTGCAGCGGGGCTCTCTCCTCCTGCCTCCGGTCCTGCAGAACATCCACAAGGCGGCGGAGCGTGTCCGTTTGCTCCCTCATTAGTCCAAGCAGCGTTTGAGTAGCCTGCCTGTCCTCCTGTCGCCACCTCTCCTCCCGTTCCATGTTTGCCCGGTGCATTTGGGACAAGTTCTCCCTCCACTGTGTCTGCTGGGCTGCCTGTGCTCGGGAGCATTCCATTAGTTCAGCAAACATGTCTTCCCGTGTCCTCTTCTTCCTCCTCCTAATGTGCGCTAGCCTCTGGGCAGATGTGGCTGTGGGAATTGGAAAAAGGGAGTGAATTCCTGAGACAGAGCAATGTATCTGTGAACAGAGAACATAGTCTTGCTCCGTGAACAAGACCATGCAGAGCACCTATCACACGCGCACTGAGGACAAGGTCGAATTTTCGGCCCTCGCCTACAGTGCCTGCGGTCTTGCTGTGGCGAGCTGAGGAGCAGGGCAGGACACCGGACTTTGTCTAGATGGCAAACATGGTAAGCCGTAGACTTGTGGCCGCTTAAAACTTTAAGAGTGGCACTGGCCTCCTTTCACATAGAAAGCAATGCGAGTCTCTGCTGGCAGCAATCCTGCAAGCATGAACTCTGGCCCTGTCCCACCCCCTCGCGGCTGTAAACCGCGTGGCTGTAAACCGGCGGTTGCAGTTCTGTAAAGGGACGAGCAAGCAGTCCCAATACTAACTTTCCCCTACCTAATTCACAGCAGGGAGTCATGCCTGACATCACCCTCCTGAAGGTCTCCGAGAGCCAGAAGGAGAAGATGCTACGGGACAGCCTGCAGAAACCGGGGCCATTTGCTGCACTGCTGTGCAAGGCCATGATCCCGGAGTACCTGCTGGCGTTGTGGCAGGGAAACGTGTCCTACCACGGGGGGCCTAATAAGCTCTCCCTGCCCAGGAACCTGCTGATGAGGCTGGAAAAACACCTGCAGGAGGTGTATGAGGAGTTCTCCCCGGAGGATCTCGCCTCTATCCCCGGTTACATTGACCAGTTCCTGGCTTAGGTGCCCTTGGAGGGACAAATGACTGCAGGGTTTTGGGCACTATAATCATGAAGCGGACATTGTGCAATTTTTTGAAAATGGTTCGGACTATATATTGAGGCGCCCAAAAAAAGACAAATCATGATACACTTTGCACTGATTCCCCTTTTGTTTGACTTTCCTGTTTACATGTTTTGAAGCACTTTACCCACTGTTCATATTTTCAATCTTCCTGTTTTGTTGCAAATAAATGTTTACATGTTTTAAAGCACTTTAGCTAATGTTAATATTTTAAATACGCCAGTTATGTTGTAAATAAATATTTAGATATTTAAAACACTTACAGCTTGATCCTTCCCCTGAATCTGTGTCTGGGGTAACGGCTGGGGAGGGTTGGTAGGGGATCTCTGTCAGGGTGATGAAGAGCTCCTGGCTGTCGGGCAAATCAGCGTTGTAAGCGCTGTCTACTGCCTCGTCCTCCTCATCTCCTTCCTCCTCTTCCCCGTCCGCTGAGGAACCGGTCGCGGACAATATCCCATCCTCAGAGTCCACGGTCACTGGTGGGGTAGTGGTGGCGGCCGCACCTAGGATGGAATGCAGTGCCTCGTAGAAACGGGATGTGTGGGGCTGGGATCCAGAGCGTCCGTTTGCCTCTTTGGTCTTCTGGTAGCCTTGTCTCAGCTCCTTGATTTTCACGCGGCACTGCGTTGCATCCCGGCTGTAGCCTCTCTCTGCCATGGCTTTAGAGATCTTCTCATAGATCTTTGCATTCCGTCTTTTGGAGCGCAGCTCTGAAAGCACGGACTCATCGCCCCACACTGCGATGAGATCCAAGACTTCCCGATCCGTCCATGCTGGGGCCCTCTTTCTATTGGATTGCACGGCCATCTCTGCTGGAGAGCTCTGCATCGTTGCCACTGCTGCTGAGCTCACCACGGTGTCCAAACAGAAACTGCGCTTCAAACTGCCCAGACAGGAAAAGGAATTCAAATTTTCCCGGGGGAGTGGCTGGTCAGAGCATCCGAGCTCGGACTGCTGTCCAGAGCGTCAACAGAGTGGTGCACTGTGGGATAGCTCCCGGAGCTATTAGCGTCGATTTCCATCCACACCTAGCCTAATTCGACATGGCCATGTCGAATTTAGCGCTACTCCTCTCGTTGGGGAGGATTACAGAAATCGATTTAAAGAGAGCTCTATGTCGAACTAAATGGCTTCCTGGTGTGGACGGGTGCAGGGTTAATTCGATATAACGGCGCTAAATTCGACATAAAAGCCTAGTGTAGACCAGGCCTTAGTCTGCTTCATACTTTTTAAGTATTTACATTGATCCAGATGTAAGAGGGTGGTGAAACACTGGAATGGGTTACGTAGGGAGGTGGTGGAATCTCCATCCTTAGAGGTTTTTAAGGCCCAGCTTGACAAAGCCCTGGCTGGGATAATTTAGTTGGTGTTGGTCCTGCTTTGAGCAGGGAATTGGACTAGATGACTTCCTGAGGTCTCTTCCAACCCTAATATTCTATGATTCTATGTATTCTGTGTATTTTTCTTTACATCACATTCAATTTTTGGGGGTGAAAACAAAGTTACAATATTGTCACATACACACTTTCTTGTATTGGAGACAAATAAATTTAAAGTTTAATTATGAGAAACAATAATTATTTTTATTAAACAAATTATAGATGGTATTATAGATACGTAGTACATAAATGCTTACTACAGTCTCAATTTAGGAAGAAATTTAAGCCTGTATACAACTTGCATGCTTAAAGTTAAATACATGTTTTAGTATCTTTCTGAATTGGGCCATACTGTAGGTAGACATTCACAGCATATGTAGTACTGGCTCCAAATTTGTATTATGGTGTCAGTAACCAGAATACAACTAAAAATACTCCTTATAAGGAATCGATTGTCTTGAATCTTATCAATAGCACATTTTACTGTCTTTTTAATATTACTATACCATATAATTCAAGTAAACCATAAAATGCTTTGTTTATATAACATTGGGCCAAATTCTCCCCTGTGCAGGAAAAAAAACTATATAGGGGCACAAACTTACATTTTTTTTCAAGTCATGCTGTTGGGGTCGTGGGATTTGCAGAATACTCAGGAGGGTTGGATCCCTAATTGGCAGGTATTTATGATCTGTGCAAAACTCCAGTATCTCCCACACTGCTTTCTATACCTCTGGGATCAAAGCTCTGAAGGAGTTGTTGTCATGTAGTTCCTAGCAGACGGTGTCCTGAAAAGTACAGAAGTCCACAATATATGATTTAGCCACTGAGATATGTCTAGATATAACTGGTGAGCTTGTGGTGACGGACATAATCTTTTAAGAATAATTTTGTATAGTATCTGCTAAACTGTTTAAATGCTGGTGGTAGTTTAGCTATGATGAACTTGTATTAGTTTAACACTATAACAAGGTATACTTGTAGTTTATAATCACACTTTACTGCAGTGAAAAATGATGATGCTACCAGAAGAGGCCAGTAAAAGATAGCAGTTTTTTAAAAAGCATATTGTACACTGGGAACAGTTTGTGGTCAAGTTACACCATAGAGCATCTGTCGTTTGGCTTCTTGGTAGCAGAGTTGATCAGAAACCAACCTTTGTTTGATTAAATCCTCATTTGTCATTTTATATTCCAGGGGTCCAGGAGGTGGTAGACCGTGGCCAAACCCAACGAATGCCAATTCTGTAAGTAAATATTTAAGTGTGTTGGACAGGAGTTATTCCTTCTTAATATGCCCATGTATGGAAAAAAAAAACTATATTCAGGAAATAGAATAGTGCATGCCATATTTTGTTGCCCTCTGTACTGTTTTTTTTTTTTTCCAACCCTGATGCATGGGTTCTCCAGCTTTTTTTACAGTATGGACCACATCTTAATAGAGCGCTTCTAGTAGACCACCTTTCCTCCCACTCATGATTGTGCAGACCATCTGCTCTTCTGTTCATAATCACAAAACAGCCCTGAGGCAACTACAGCAAATTACCCAAAGGAAAAAATTAACATTAGCATAGTATTTAATATATTTTTAGCTTTTTTAATGCAATATAACAGAATAGAATAGGAGTCAGTACCATCTGACCAACCAGCTCTACATAGACCACAGTTTGATAAGGTGCGCTCTAATGTATCGTCTCATGGCTTATATATGGAAAAAAACACATTAATTTCTGTACCACTCAAATCATAGTGTAATTTCTCAAAACATGATCCATTTGATAGGTTGAACAATTTAATTTTGGCCATCATGAAAAGTAATACACTCTCCAAATTAGTAGGCTGCAACAGCTACAAAATGAGGTTGTTCGATAGCTGCTTAGGACAAGAACAGTTTGGTAATGCCCACCCTCCATGACTTGCCCTGGCTGGTAGCCCTACAGAAGGTAATTCACAGTTCAAGGGGTTAGTTTTAGAAAGCACAGTGAAACCCTTCCTAATCTGTACCCAAAGTACTTGAGTGAACATGTATCATCATATATCCCTACTTTGCATTTACAGAAGGCTAGGGTGGATCTGCTGTTACTAGACTCTATTTCTGGCTGTCCCTAGAACATGGTATATCAAGTTTATCCTTGACTGGGATATATTTATTTATTTTATTGGTGGATCGGAAGAGGAGTGTTTCCTATGTTCTTTTGTGATTTTTTGTTTTGGTTTGTATTTGCTATCCTCTTGTGTATTCCTTTTCTATGTAGGAATTGATCCTTGTAGTTTGATAGAATGGCTTCTGTGTGGTTTGCCATTGTGCCAGATCTTTGGGTTCAGATTGGCTGTATATTTGGGTAAATTATTTCCTCATTTTGACTTTAGTGGTGTTTGCTGATTATTGTATATGTAATGCAATAAATGTTTAAAATAAATTTTAAAAGGGTTAGATTATCAAAGTCACAGGGGAGTTAGGTGCCCAACTTTCATTGAGCGCTGAGTGCTTAACTCCCTCTTCTTTATTTGAAAATCTCCCCCTACATATTTTCTCTCTCTCTGGGTTATGCTTACCTGTCATATAATTCAGAGGTACAGCTCAATTTACAGTAATATTAACTTTGTGGAATGTGGATCATGATATGCTAAGGTTAAATCTTATACATACACTCAAAATAAAAAGTACACAAAATCTATGACAGTGTGAACTGAGGCTGGCAGTTTTTCATAATAATAATAATGTACAAAAAGAAAAAGAGCTCAATGTTGCATGACTGAGTTACAAATAAGTAAATGTAGGCCTTAACTTGCATTTTCCCAGCTTTTAGTGACAGCCTTAATATTCTTTTTTGTTTTAAATGTCTTGATTGTTTTTAAATAAGGTAGAGAAGATTATTCTGCCATGGAATTTTATGTTTATTAAATTCAATATGCAAGTACATGCAAGAGACCAGATATAGACCCTGATTCATGAAAACACTTAAGTACATAAGCAAGTCATTGGAATTTAAGCACATGCACAAGTGCTCTCTTGAATATGGATATTTTCCTGAATTGTGATCTTTGGCATTGACTTAAAATATACATTATCTACCTGATTAGAATGAAATCAGGGAAATAGTTACAGTATTTAGGCAGAATTTTAAAACCCACTAAATAGAAATTAGTCCTTTGAAACTATTGTAATCTTACATGAAAGTACACATCTAGGACACGCCCTATGCATATTTTAGTTACTAATCTTTAATTAAGATTTGTTGACATTTTCTTTCATAAGCAGGAAAAAGGGGGTTTCAGAGCATACAAAATAAGAGAATACAGTTGAAGTAGTTCAGATTATGGTTTGCCTTAAGCCTACAGTATATGCTGATTTTATAAAAGTGATATCAGTGATTGTTTTAACTGAGTTTATGTCACCTGCTCTATATTTCATCAAATAGTTTAGCTGTTAACCTTATATATGTAGCTCCATAGGTCTTTCCATTTAAAACATACCTACCAGAAAAACATGCCCCTCCTCCCCCCCCCCCCCCAAAAAAAAAAAATAAGAGAAGTGGAAAGACTTGCTTGCTATATACATTTTTGAAAAATATACTAAATAGAAACAAGGCATTGCCCCATACATGAGGCTTATGGCAATTCCACAGCTGAGCTTGTAGTGAAGTCAGGGACCTTCTCTCTTAACCATTATGTTTATTCAGATTTTGTAATAGATTTTTAATTGTTAGAGATGGGGAGGAGGGGAAGAGTTGTTTTAAAAGAACTGCCATAATGCATATCTCCTCTTCGCCTCCCAATGAACTGATGTTAAAGGAGAGGTTAAGGGAGTCTGAGAGAGGAGGAGGAGGGGAAACAAATATAGAACAAGATGCATGTTGGACATTGCCACTTGCTCAGTTGTTTGCCGCTGTTGCATCTGATTCCCCATGTTTGTCAACTCAATGTCTGTTTAGATTGTAAGCTCCCCAGAACATAGATCTTGATCTAAACTCTCTTTTAAGATGTGGCCCCTCTGTGCTATTCCAGTGACATGAAGGGGGCCCTTGCAGAACACACCTGACATAGTGAGAGGCTGAGCTGTCTATGTACTTATAGCCTTTGTTACTGTGGTAACTGAATACCTCAGTTATATTAAAGAATTTTTATCCTCACAACATCCCTGTGATGTAGAGAAGTATCATCCCCATTTTACAGATGGGGAACTGACGCACAGAGTAGATTAACTGATTTACCCAAGGTCACAGGGAAGTCTTTGGCTGAGCTAGGAATTGAACACAGATCTCTTTAGGCTTACTTAGGCCAATACCTTTTGCACTACAATCAGGGGTTCTCAAACTTCATTGCACCGCAACCCCCTTCTGACAACAAAATTACTACATGACCCCCAGGGAAGAGGGGGCGGGGTGGGTAAAAGCCCAAGCCCTGCTGGCCCAGGTGGTGGAGGGGGCAGAGCCCGAGTCCCACCACCCCTGGTGCTGGGAGAGGGGGCCAGAGCCCAAGCCCCACCGCCCCAGGTGTGGGTGGAGCTCAGGCTTCAGCCCTGGGTCCAAGCAAGTCTCGTGCTGGTCCTGGTGACCCCAATAAAATGGGGTTGCGACCAACTTTGGGGTCCCGACCCACAGTTTTAGAACCGCTACTCCATTATCTATTCTTCTCTGACCCTATAGTCAGCCTCAAGTCTGGCCCTAGGTGTTTTGCCGGCCTGGGTAGAAATAATTTCCAGCGCCTTCCTTGGAGCAGCCAAGCTAAAAACCTCCAAAATTCAGCTGGGTCTATGCTATTCCTTCCTGCCCCTTGCATAGAAGATTTGTATGGAGATGGCCAGTGTAGGCAAGGAAGGGAACGGGGTGGGATTGCTGGAGTACAGTGCACTCCGGCTATTTTATGCCAGCATAATAATGTATAGATTTCAGACAGTAAGACATATTAGAATGTGGAAATCTCCCAAAGTAAGTGCTGGTAGACCTTTTACTTGGGATTTTAAAAGCTAGATTGGACTAACACTAGAAATTGTACTATGAGGATTAATTCTGCTTTGATGGGGAGATGGACAGGAAAGTGCATAATAGATTTTTGCATCACTCACTTCTAATATTCTATAATGATTCCCATAAAATTAAGTCTCTTATTTTTTTTTCAATTTCTCATACATTCTAAAGCAAGTCCATCCTTCACAGATTAGATGCCAAGAGGCAGTTCACATCTTCAATGTGTGAGAGTTTCAGAACCAGGGCCGGCTCCAGGCACCCAAGCTGGTGCTTGGGGCGGCACCTGGAGGGGGGCGGCGCGGTGCTCTGGCCGCCAGGGGGAGAGCCGAGCCCCAGCCGGGGCTCGCCGCCCTCCTCCCAGGGCTCCGGCCGCCCCCCCCCCCCCCCC